AAATACAAGGTCATTAGGAATAAATTAACACAAAGCAATAACGCGCCATCTATACATATAAAATAAAAGGACCCAAAAGCTGTGAATGTTTCTTTTATACATAAAACGAACTTCTACTGTCCTTACTGCGATGAAATGACCTTGTATTTTTAGTTTGCTGAAGAGCATTGCTCGAAGCAAATATTTGAATATAATTCTACTGTCCTATAAGCTTATGTCCATAGTTTACTAGAAAACCATTTCTAAGATTCCATCCTTCAATGTAGCATATAAAAGCAGAATGATCCAATACAATATTAGAGCTCTGAGAAGGGTCTGGTGGATTAAATTGGCGAAACCGCTGGGAGGGTTCACCACTGATGAGCCAAGCCCTCCCAATATATTTTTTCATCGCAGTAAGGACAGTAGAAGTTCGTTTTATGTATAAAAGAAACATTCGCGCTTTTGGGTCCTTTTATTTTATATGTATAGATGGCGCGTTATTGCTTTGTGTAAAGCTATTTGTGCAGAAAGAATAAATGTTGTGTCAACCAAGTTCTATTACTTTATAGTGTTGAGATTGGTGTGGAGGGCATTAGTTATTGCTGAAAAAACGGTAGTGTGTGCTGTAACAAATAAAGCAAAAAAAAGTAACAATGGGGCAACAATGGCAGAAATAGTGCTTTGCAATGGGGCAACAATGGCAGAAATAGTATAGGGTAACGATGGGGTAACAATGGTATAAATAGGGGGGTAACAATGGTATAAATAGGAGGATAACAATGGGGCAAAAATAGCATAAATAGCAGTGTAACAATGGGGGCAACAAATATTGGAACATAACAGCAGAAAGCAACAATAGCAGATTTGCCATAAAGTAACATGTATAATTTGGATTCTAGATAAGACAAATAAGGTGAGGGACAAGCACAGAGAAGAGCCTCAACTCTCTAAAATTTTTTTTTTTTTCTTATCCCAAGTACACATGGTACAGGCCATGATAATCATGGTGGGTAGTTAGCGACTGCTTTTTACTGTAAGCGCACCACATGTCTACACATGTGAAAAGCAGTTCGACTTTGCACTTACAAATGCCAGAGCCCCGTTTGGTTACTTGCACTCGCTGGTGGGGTTGGACTTTTGCAAGAATCGGCGGCCATTGGAGCATTTTTTTTTTTTTTTAACAGAAAAAGTGTCCAATGCGGGAATCGAACCCGGGTCCTAGTGGTCGAAAACCAAACGGTTTAACCAGCCTTCCACCGACCCACTCTCTAAAATAGAATCCTCAAGTGATGGCATCAAACTAGACAATTTGTTGTTGTTGTTTCTTATCCCCTTGTGTAAATATTTCACAAATTCCATGAGTCACCATAGCACACTTTGATGAAAGTCTGACTTTGCCTGTAGTTAGAGGCCGTTCCTAACATGGAAGCAGACACCTTTGCTGCCAACTCTAATATGGGTACAGACACAGCTCCTCCATATCCCTGAGGTCTATCAACCAGGTCAGTTGACCTTAGGATTTTTAAAGAAGTCTACTCCTCTTCTAACAATGCTGCTGTTGGTCCATGACTTCTTATTCGTCAGAGTTATTCTGCTTGTTTCACAGCTGGCCTTCATATCTGAAGGTTGTTCCCCTATCCACCACCTGGTACGCACCCTGTAGCAGTCAGCTCTTCTGAGGGCAATTGTGACGATTAAAACAATTATATTAATTCTTCTAATCAATTCAACCTAGAGGCATCAACCTAAAGATATTCACATTTTAGAGAATTCAGTTTCTTCTGCTAATAGAATAAAATAAATTCTAAGGCAATAACTGCCCATCTAGGCACAAGAAGTGAAAGCATGATTGCTTCTTTTACACATAAAAAACAAACTTCTACTATCCTTACTGCAATGTAAAAATATTGGGGAAAAAATGAATCCTAAAGTGAATGAATATCCAGGATGATGCCATCACTTGAAGATTCTATTTTAAAGAGTTCAGGGGATTTGAAAAGCTCTTTTTTTTTTACCTTAAAAACTTATCAAGAGATATGTGTAGATATGAGCAAAGACAGTGCTGCTGTAATAATTCTAGCAATTTTCAATGTTGAAGTGCAAAGATTGTGCTACAAAATTTCTAGCAATTTTCAATGTGGGAATTTAATTAAAAAATAATAATTTTAACAATGTGTGTGTGTGTGTGTGTGGGGGCAAAAATACTTCTGTTGCAATATTGTAGTGATTCCATTAACTTGAGGTAAAGTTTTGAATAGATCCATAAGGTAGTTTTAAATTCTAGATAACACCTACGTTGTTGCAATATTGAAAACAGTAGAACCTCCACGAGAGGCCACCATGATACAAAGGACACAAAATTGCCATTTTTACCAATTAGCTGCTCTCCAGTAAAAGAAGACACCTCTCTCTAAACAACATTTTGGCTCTGTAACTAGGTATCCTATAGAGAGAGATTCTACTGCAATACCAATATATAGCCGAGTGTTGTTAAACAACAGTGTTGCAACACTTAGATAGCATACAAACCATCTATACACCAATTCCATTCAAAGTCCATAATAAGCCTAGTGACTCCCTGATATTCTTACATAACCAACAAATACAAGTAACCCCACTGAGCTATATTCACACATAGAAGTTCCTTCCACCTATATAAACATATGTTGTTGTTTCTTATACCCTTGTGTAAAGATTACACGAATTCCATGTGTGTGACAACGAGCGATGCAGCATGCAAATCAACATCTGATCTCATGGAATGGGGTGTAGGGGTGCAGCTTTCATTGATCATGGCACCATGATCCAGGCACACTTTGGTGAAAGTCTGACTTTGCCTGTAGTTTGAGGCCGTTCCTAACATGGAAGCAGACACCTTTGCTGCCGACTCTAACATGAGTTCAGATGCAGCTCCTCCGTATCCCTGGAGTGGGACCCTTTCTGAAGTCCATCAACTGGGTTAGTTGAAGTCAGGATTTTTAAAGAGGTCTACTCCTCTTCTAACAATGCTGCTGTTATATATATATAGTCCGCGACTGCTTATTTGTCAAAGTTATTCTGCTTGTTTCTCAGCTGGCCTTCATATCTGAAGGTCGTTCCCCTATCAGCCACCTGGGGACGCACCCTATAGCAGTCAGCTCTGCCAAGGGACATATGGTGTACTTACGGTAGGATCCAAACCTGCCATGGTCTATACTATGTGTACATAAGAGTAATCATAACATGTCCCTTCTTTTATTTTTCAACCTGTGGTGTCATTATAGTAAGAAATTTAAACTATTTTTGATGATTAAATTTCTTTTAAAAATAAAATATTTTTCAAAGTCCATAATAAACCTTTGAATATTACAATAACCCATCAATTCTCCAGATTGCTCAATACCTAACAAGGACAAATACTCAGCACTTGTTTGGGGTTTCTACAGAACCTTCTAAAAATAAGAATAAAACTTTAAAAAGAGCTGGTAAGAAAACCAGAGGGTGTTCAAGCTGGGAAGCATTAATGAATACATATGGCAATCCAAATTGACAAAGCAAAAAATTGATTAAAGACTGGGAGTATAGTACAACCTCCAACAAGAGACCAAAAATCACATGGCTATTGCTGGTCCTTCATTGGAAATTGGATTATGGCAGCTCATTTGTAATTCTAACAGAATGTTCTTGATCCAACAGATTGGTGTAATGCTTGGAGTCTACTCAAAATGTGCTGCTCAACTTTCTCAGAATACCTTGTTTACATTTGATGACTGAGGTTATGCTTTATGTTGTTTCTTATCCCCTTGTGTAAATATTTCAGGAATTCCATGAGTCAATGCTCCTTGAGCTGATCTCATGGAATGGGGTGTAAGGGTGCAGCTTTCATTGATCATGGTACCATGGCACACTTTGATAAGAGTCCGACTTTGCCTGTAGTTTGAGGCCATTCCTAACATGGAAGTCTTTGCTGCCGACTATAACAGGAGTACAGACGCAGCTCCTCTGTATCCCTGGAGTGGGTTATATTTTATGGTGAGGTGATGGATAGTGTCTGTGAAGTGTCACCAAAGAAAGCAAGGAGAAGTAGGATGACATCTTGATCTAACAAATCCCAACTGGGGGCTGTTCTTCCACACAAACCTGGTGGAAGGAACATCTCAACATGACAAGCTAGAGACACCAAAGGCATTCATAGAGAAACTGGCTCAAAGGGGCTAAAACCATCTGGCATGTAGAGCTGAAGCCAAAATGAAAGAGGATAAAAGATATTGCTCTATATATTTTCCCACAATGATAATAATTTGCGTAAATATGCTTAACACATAAAAAAACAATAGAAAAAAATTAATAAATTTACGCAAATTTGACCTTAAATACCCATTTCTTGGTTTTTTCGGGAAGCCACTGGGACCAAAAATCTTCGTGGATGGCTTTTCTTGATTTATCAAGAAATTGTGTTGGCCAAATATCACGGCGCAAGTTAAATAAATGTTTAGTTTATTTTTGCTCCACTAGATGGCGCTGTGCCATCTAAAAAGCACATGTGCTCGTGGTCGGAAAATGCCTTCTTCATTTTTAATATATATATATATTGTGCAGGACAAATTTATTGCTCCAAGACTTTTGCTAGAATCAAGAGATGATCAACAATAAACAAAACATTTACTTCAGGGACAAGAACGAGCTTTATATTTGTTTTATTTTCCTTTTCTATTGAGGTGAAGAAATAGAAACTCTAGTACCTTTTATCCTCTTCACTTTGGCTTCACTAGGGAATATTAGAAAAAAAAAAGGTTTAAAACAAAATAATAAAAAAAAATAATAATAAAAGCAAAATAAGGAAGTTGTTTCAAATTCCTAACAATATGGGAAGTGTTGCTTATTCCTCGAGTCATTTAAACAATCTCCATTAGGTTCTATTGTCTCAGCTTTACTATGAAATATGGGAAGTGATAATATGCAATATACACAGACAACCTTTAAGGCAGAACATGCCAAAAGGAATCAAATATAACTGTGGCAGCTACACAATTAGATGGGGTTGGTGGAATGATGGTCTAAACTGTTGGTTTTCAACCACTACGACCCGGGTTCGATTCCCGCATTGGGACACTTTTTTTCTGTTTAAAAAAAAATGCTCTAATGGTCCCCCGTTTCTTTCAAAAGTCCAACCCCACCAGCGAGTGTAAGTAACCAAACAGGGCTCTGGCACATTTGTAAGTGCAAAGTCGAACTGCTTTTCACATATGTAGACATGTGGTGTATTTACAGTAGAAGCATTCGCATACTTCTACCCACCATGATTATCATGGCCTGTACCATGTGTACTAGGGATAAGCAAAAAAAAAGCTAAAAATTATGTTTTGTGAGAGTGGGATGGGATTGATTGTAACTGTTCATCTGGCATTACAATACCGGTCTTGTTCAGTTTCTCCACACTTTCAACAAAATATAGTTTAAATTGCTTTAGCCTCTACAGCTTGATACTCTAATTCTTTCTTATCTCCAACCATCATGACTGGGTGAAGTAATGCATCTGCCTCTGTCATTAAGACTGGGAGCACTACTCAGTGGCAGGCCAACTTAGCTCCAAAAGAAATGGCCAACTCTGACATGAGGAACATACGCCATGTGCAGCCACTCCTAACATGGAGTACAAACGCTGCTCATCCTGTATCCCTGGATCAGGTGCCCTTACAGGGTACTATCAGCCAGGCCAGCTGAGCCCAGGTTTTTTAGTGAGCTTGTTACTGCTCCTCCTCCTTTTTCATCCTGGCTTGGGACCGGCAAGCTTGATACTCTAACATGTTGTTGTTTCTTATTCCCAAAGATTGAACAAATTCCATGAGTTCATGCTCCTCAGGCTGTTTGATGATAAGCAGCAGCCTCTCTCCCAAAGGTCTCTTTCATGATACCCTGATATGATTGAGTGGAGAGAAGAAAGAAGAAGATAAAAGAGGGTATACTGTATATACAGTAGAACCTCATGGAACATCAGAAATAGACAGCATCAAACAACACTAACAAGATTTAGAACAGGCCATCTCAAGCCATTGAAGATAGAAAATATTAACAAAATCTATCCCACTTGCCCAAAATGTAGCTTGGCACCTGCAGCTCCAGAACACATTTTGGCTTGCATTAGATGCACTAAACAGGACCTTTGGGAGAGGCCGCTGCTCATCATAAAACAGCTCGAGGAGCATGAACTCATGGAATTCGTGTAATCTTTACACAAGGGGATAAGAAACAACAACAACAGTAGAACCTCCCTGTAAACTCAACACCTAATTACAGAGCCAAAGTGTCCTTTAGGGAGAGGTGTCCTCCAGAGAGTTGCTAAATAGTAAAAATGGTAATTTTGAAAATGAAAACTGTCTTTTGTGGAGAGGTGTCTAGCGGGGTGTCTGATAAAAAGGAGGTTCTACTGTATTATCAAATTAATTCTATAGAGAGAACCCCAAAATATTTCTAAACCCATTATCACCCTCCTAGAAGTGTCAATTTAGGGGGTTCTGTACTGCCCACCGCTTGAGGTTTATATAAACATCTTATTTCTAACATTGTGTGCAATTTCATCTTAATCATTCATTAAAACCATACTAATATGAATGTTCCAATGGCCCCCCGATTCTTACAAAAGTCCAACCCCACCAGCGAGTGCAAGTAACCAAACAGGGCTCTGGTATATTTGTAAGTGCAAAGTCGACCTGCTTTTCACATGTGTAGACATGTGGTGTACTTACAGTAAAAGCAGTCGCCTACTTCTACCCACCATGATTATGGCCTGTACCACGTGTACTAGGGATAAGCAAAAAAAAAATACTAATATGAAACAACTTCAATATTATAGCTTTAAAAATAAATAAAATAACCAAATCAAAAATAATAATAAAAGAGAGAGAAAAAGAGTCAAAATAATAAAACAGAAAAATAAATAAAAAATGAGGAAAATAAATAATAATAAAATAAAAATAAAACAAAACTAACCCAAGTCATGCACAGAGATGCCCAGATTGGTGATGCCCCGTTTCTCAAGGTTGGGGGCACTCTTGGACCAATATCTGTTACCATCCAGCATGAGCCGGTTCCTCTCCTTCTGGTGGACAGAGCTGGGGCCCCACGTCTTTCCTTTCACTCCTTCCATGGGCACTGCACATACACACACATCTTTGTAGCTTCAGGTCAGCTCATTCAACAACCAAACACTAAATGCTCCAATGGCCCCCGATTCTTGCAAAACTCCAACCCCACCAGTGAATGCAAGTAAACAAACGGGGTTCTGGCATATTTGTAAGTGCAAAGTCGAACTTGCTTTTCACATGTGTAGACATGTGGTGTACTTACAGTAAAAAAGCAGTTGCATTCTTCTACCCAACATGATTATCATGGACTGTACCACGTGTACTAGGGATGAGCAAAACAAAAAAAAAAGCCAAACACTATCATAAAATAGAAAAGTCTCCCTTCAAAAACTAGACCCAAACCGATATGCCATCTATTGACCATCTCTGGTCAGCAGTGGCAAAGCCACAACATTAGTTTGAGTCATTTAAGAATGTCCAGGACCTTTGAGAGAGGCCGCTGCTTATCATCAAACAACTCAAGGAGCATGAACTCATGGAATTTGTGTAATCTTTACACAAGGGGATAAGAAACAACAACAAAAATGCCCATTTTGAGATAATGGTTCCAGGATAATGCACTTCATCAGCCCAGGCTTTCATATGAGCCCCACTGGATCCCTTTCTAGATCTACCAGAGCTGGTAAAGTGGCTAGGACAAAATATAAAGGGTGGTGCATAGTTCTGCTGCATCTATTTGGACAGGAGCCTTTACTTTATATATGATTCACACAATATTGTCCATCAACAACTAGTTCATTCCATCCATGACGGCCCATCAGTGTTGGCCACATCCTATGTGAGGCACTAATGTTCAGAAACAGGTATAGTAGAACCTCTCTAGTTTCAGATCTAAGGTGGCCTTTATAGAGTGGTGTTCTCTTATACTGGGGAGCAGCTGATTAGTAAAAATGACAAGTGATGAAAACTGTCCTGCTGTAAAGAGGTGTCCTCTAGCAGGAGTGTCCTCGCATGGAGGTAGTTCTCCTATAAAGGACAATCTAGGCTAGGAAGTCAATTCCAGGTAGGGCAGGAGCTACTAATACTGGCAAGAGGTGAAGCATATTGAAATAGGGCTTTTAATCCCAATATGGTGAGCATGACTAACTTGGTTCCAATAGTATGATATGAGGAAGAAACCCTCACAAAACCTAAAGAACTCTGATGTGTTGAGAGACTTGGCAGAGAGTTTGACATGAACCAGGTAAGAGAATGAATCTAAGAATTCATCAGGGAAGTGCATGGGTGCTATTACACTATGCCAACACTTCATCTTGGTCCAATTTGTTTTTCCTTGTCAACAACAACTTTTATTTTAGGAGACTGATTGATCTTTGTGCTTAAGAATATCTTCCAACCTACAACTCCTAACCACACATTGACAACATCAGCTCATCCATCGATAAGTTCTACTCATCCTCAGCAGGTGTACCGTACATAATAAAGTACAAGATCCACAGCTCATTGACATTTATATGACTGAGTAAAGATAAGAAGATGGAACAATATTTCCTGCCATATACATGGCTGTTATAGCCAGTCTGGCTGTAGAGGCCACTTACATGCGTAAGCTCGCAGCCGAGGGAGACTTGGAGATCCAGGAGGACTCTCCGGACTGGCTGGAAGTCTGAGGGCCACGATCTCTGGTCGCAGGGTGGGGCTGTGCTGTACAGTGATGTTGTGCCTGAAGTCTGAACACACACTCACTCTCTTCAATATATTCATTCTCTGCATCATATTACATCAAAGACTTCACACATCCAAGGATGATTCCTCTTTTTATTTCTTAAAATTGAAGATACTTCAGCCAGTAAATCTTTTTTATTATCTCAACATTTCAACAAAAATCTTTTGTCCTCGTCTGGAGCAAACAAAAATTAAGACATTTGGCAAAGCGTTAAATATTATTCTAAGGTTGCAAGGGCGTTCTCATGCGATATTTCAAATTTTGTACAACATCTAAAGCATGAGTCAAAAAAATTGTATCTTGTTTTCTCCTATAGGACTTTCAGCCTAGAAAAGAGTCATATAAAATAACTTTTAAAAGAACCTCATCCTTGAACACCTAAAGTTTTCATTTCAACATACACTCTTCAGCTGAAGTGGTAGGAAGTAGTGAATAGCTTCATTAACAACAATGATGATACAATTTGGATTATGTTGTTGTTTCTTATCCCCTTGTGTAAAGATTACACGAATTCCATGAGTTCATGCTCCTCGAGCTGTTTTATGATGAGCAGCGGCCTCTCCCAAAGGTCCTGTTTAGTGCATCTAATGCAAGCCAAAATGTGTTCTGGAGCTGCAGGTGCCAAGCTACATTTTATGCAAGTGGGGTAGATTTTGTTATTATTTTCTATCTTCAATGGCTTGAGATGGCCTGTTTTGGATTATAGATTAGAAACATAAGGTAACAAGACCAAATCAATGAATAGAGGAAAGCTTCAGATTCTGAATTCTTCAAAATAGAATCCTCAAGTGGTGGTTTAGCATGGATTTGGTCTTGTTACCTTATGTTTCAACATTAAAACAACATCAACTCAATCCTAAATGGAGACAAAAAAGTGAGATGAGGGACAGAAAAGGCAGAGTTTAATTGCAAGATATTCCCTGACAATATCCAGACAATCTCTAAACTTTCCCACCACGTGAAGTCTCACATATGGCCATGTCCATGAAGAGAGCAGTACCTTCCTGGAGAATGTGATCTACCAAACTTACATCAAGAAAAGCAAATAAAGAAGTAGCCTAGTCGCTAAACACTAGGAATATGCTCTCATGGACAGAAGGAAGTTGTACCTTTTACCATGTATATCGGGATTCAGACAATAACTCTGGAAGATATTACAGTGACCATTATTGAAGACACATGAGATAACCAAGTATGAACAAAATTGCTTCTGTCCTCTTAAAAAAAAAGATGATTGGTGACATAAAAGACTTTCCATTCCTTAAGTTTTGTCTATGTTGTATGCTCTCTATAGTTTTGGA